CTATTATCTATAAACAATATGGTACTCACTTATTTTTTAAATAAAGTTATTGACAATCGGTCCTTTATATATTATTTTCTATTTATTGGTCCTCTCTCCTTTCTGTTTCTTTTTAAACGGATTGTAAGGTCCGTCAAATGTACACGTATATTCGTATATGTCTAATTAATACTGTGGATTAATATATTTTTTCTTGGTCCTAGCAGCGTGAACAAGTTGCCTGTATGGTTGCTGTGTTTCTTTACTTAAACTGAACTCAACTTTTAATTAAGTAAAAGAATAATGCCGGATAAATCGGACAAATCAAACTAAATTTCAATTTCAATTGCCGAGATGAACTCTGAATTCGGAAATACTGCGGTCTAGTGGCTCAGTCCTAACTGACTAATCTCTCTTCGTTGTTTTCACCGGTTTATTATATATTCTTTGTCCCTCGCATTCCGTCTCTCTCTCGCACATATACTTTAGACGTTTACCCTTCTCGTATCGGCTCGTATTACCTAGCTAAGCACGCTGACTGCAGCATGCTATCGTAGCATGCTGCAGCAGCGTGAATCAGCCTCTGTCGCTCATTCCCACCGAGTCGCGCACACGAATACTGCTAGCTATAATGTTTTATTACTATGTCCGAACGGAATTCTCGAGAGCGAAATCTTAATCGTAAAATATAATTATAATATAATGGAACGTCACGTAACAATCGTATTCACTTTCATCACCACTTGGAATTTCACAAGGATCCATGATGAATGTTGTTTTTTTATAATGCAATATATTTTATGTAGATTGTAAAGTATATTATCGTACTTATATTATATTATGATTTAGTAAATTATTACACAGTACAGAACGGAAATGAAGAAATTATGAAATTTAGAATAGAATATTCTGCTGAGTATTTATTGATTTGTATCAATAGTAGATTACCCATCGACTGAAGAAAAATATTGATACTTTACTTTTCTATATTTTAGATTTTCACCTTATTGTGAAAAGCAAGCAGCGATGAATTTTGATTTTTCTTACTTTGTTTATTCCGATTAGACGATTTTCAACACTAGAAAAAAATTATAGTGTTCGAAAAAAATGTTATCAATCATTTGAGTTATAAATTTCCAGGGGGAGTAGTGTGTTTTCTATGATTATAGATGCCTAGTTAGATCAGTCCTATTGAATTTTGAAAATCCCAGAACACTGATATTGAATAGCACGAAAAATATTTATTTGTGTTATAGAAAACTATAGATTCGGTGAGCGTTATAACTCGAAAAACTCTCGATTTATTTTCAAATTCGTAATAAACGTCCCCAAAATCCATGTATATTTTCCTTAGTTCAAATTCAATAAAATCAAAAATTTTTGGCCCGCTTTATTGGATCCGACATTTTTAATTTGTAGAACTTTTAGAATCTGGCATCATATTTCTTACTGACATATTTATTGTACCAGTGATCCTAAAAATCCAAAAATCCACTAATCCAGTTTTTGGTTCCCATTTTGCCAAATATAACATTTTCCGTCAGCCATATTGGATCCACTACAGTCGAACCTGACGCACTACCTCTTACCGCACTGCCTTTTCCCGTGCACTGCGCGCTCTCTCTCCCTAAGCACTGCGTGGCAGACACTGCCGTATACTGCTAATCCGGGAACCGGGTATCATCCCGTATACTCTAAGACGGCAAAAAGTAAAAACCATGTAATCTTATGTATTTTTACCTGCTTAATCCAATGGTACTAATAATTTTTACGACAAACCCCTAGGCTTTGTTTAAAACTCAGTTGTTTAAATAATCGTGTACAAATAATTCTTTTTCAATAAAACAATTTTTTATAGATAATTTGGATCATTTTAAGATGAAAAAGTCTCTTGTAGTTTTTTTTTTAAATACATTTTTAAAAACTTAATAATTGAAAAATTAACTTTTTTTGCAAGTTTAACTGTTAATAATTTTTGATCTATTAAATATTTTTTAGAAATTGAAAACTCAATTTTTTCAAAATTGTGCACTGTAAATATGTAATATTTATAAACAACTTTTAGAATTTAGGTTTGGAAAAATACAAGTTTCCTATTTTTCTCTATATGTAATTTCATTGAAAAATAAACATTTCCGGGATTGAATAATAAGCATTATTGAAATATTTATTTGTCAATGAGAAACATTTTTAACCTTAATATTTCATTAAAATTTAAATACCACGAAAAAGCAATACTCAAAAAACATTATTTATTTTCATCAATGAAGCATTTTTTTAATTACCCAAGCCACGTGGAAAATATGCATTAATATTTACTTTTATTTAGTAAGGAATACATTTTTAACCATCAAATTTACTGTTTTTCTCTAGAAAGTATAGCGCGTATAATATTTTTCGGTGTCAAATTTATTCGGGCCCCTCAGATCTCCGCTCACCAGCGGGAGTATTCGCACACCTGGTCTAACGCTCTGATTGGCTGACGCGCGGCGTGCAGTGCACGGGTCGGCTACTCCCGAGAGCAGGCAGTGCGTTAGGTTCGACTGTATGTTAAATATTTTTAATCTGATTTTATTTTCGCAATCAGCGACCCCAAAAACCTTAAGATAGATATTTTTCAGCATGTGTTCACGATCTGACGATTTAGCCGCTAACAAATTAGGCTTATGAAAACACCCTTTTTTTGTAGTATATATTTATTTATAACAATAATAATTATGCATGAATTCGTAAAATTTTCCAAACACGTCAAAATTTGAGATGTTAAGTACCAAAAAATGTAAAAAGTTCCAGATTTACCGATGAATTTAAAAAATAAACGAAGAAAAAGGGAAATATATGTAGCCACTATAATGGCTGATATGACTGAAAGGGTTAAACTGTAATTTATAATTTAAAACACTTAAAACATTTAAAAATATTATGGTTTTCAAGTGATTTTGCTGGAAATTTTACCAATTTATAATCGGAAATTATAAATGATGATTTATCATGAATAGCTTATAGTATTTTTTGAAAATTTTTGAGTGTAACTATATAAAGTTACTATAAATGTATTATTATTTATTAAAACTTCAATCTACGTTCCGATTATTGGTTTCTTAATATATGATATAACGTTATAGTATTAAAAATTTTTATTTTCAGACATGTTTTCTGATATTTGTGAATAAGAGATTTAATTATCATTGAATATTATTATGAAAAAATATTAAAAAACAATGCAGGAGCTTATTTATTTCCATAAATATCTTATATTATTTAATGAAAATATTAGTTTTTTTACGAATATTAAAATTTTCTAGTTTACAAATCCAGTACTTAAAAGCACATGCTTTATTTAAAACAAAAATTCATCAACTTTTTTCATAATTATTCACAACTATAAAGCTCATTAAGTGCCATTGAGTGCCATAAATTCATCAGTTTACTAGCGACTAAATGGACCATTTTTTTATTAAACATATTTTTTGATGTCGGATAAACTATACTTTATTGCTGAACGTTGCAAGTCTTCAAGAACAAAAATTAAAAAAATTTAATTTATAGATACATAAAAAGGAGTATTGGAGATAAGTTTTTTTCATGTAACTATATAGAAGCTACTAAAGGAAATAAGTTATAAAAAATTGTTTATTGGTCATTTTATGGTAAAATCATGCAAGCTTCTAAATGTTTTATATGAATACAATTACATATATATATACATATATATTTAATATATACAATACTTATGTTACAGCAAATACTTATAGCTCATATACCGAACTTAAAGCTTAAAAAATTAAAGCTTGTTCTGAGTATACTAGGTAAAAAAGTTTTATGGTGATGATTTTGATGGAACAAATTTTATGTACCATACCTACAATTAAAGACCTTTCAATAATGGGATGATCTCCTTATTTATAAAATACTTTTTTATCAAATTTAATACATTCATGGACTGTAAAATTTTTAATTTTTCCACATAGTTTCTTATTTATTCTTTTTAAGTTTAAAGATCTTTTCATAATGAAGATATCTTTTGAGTATTTCCATCATGAATAAATTCCAATCAATTTAAGTGAAATAAAAATAGGTATGGTAAAATAATATAAATCTATACATTATTTTTAAATCTTTAAGCTTCAAAGAATTTGAATTTAAGAAGTAACTAAGTTTATTTTATAACGCATAAATTTTAATACCATAAGACTTAAGTGGTGGCCAATAATTGCGATCTTGAATTTGTTTAGATAAATTAAAATATTTTTAATTAGTCTACATAAAATAATGAATTCATTAAATATGTTTAACTATGTAAGATTTTATTGTAGAATACTCTATGAACAAATGAGAAGTCGTTGAATCTTGAAAATATAGCATTTAATCATTTCATTGAGTAAGATATTCAATACACATTACAAATAAATTATGGTATTAAAAAATAAAAATTTGTTGTAGAACTTCTATAAGATCATTAGCAATTTCATCATTATACTCAAAGTGTATCTACTAATAGATTACTTTTGAAATAACATTATCACAGGATCTATAGTGTTGTATTATGAGTATTAAAAAATTATATACGTGTTGATCTACAAATATTTTCTGAATTCAAAATTGGTAAATTTCGACCATAATATAGCTTAAATTTTCTAAAATTAATATTTTTATCACTTTCATAAAAACAATATTAACACCATCATTAACTCATTTATTTGTTAAATAAGATTGTATAGTTACTAATACTAATTTATATAAAATAAACAAACGTCAATTAATTATGTATGCCTAGACTATCACAAAAATGTATTTTTCGTTACATACTTCCTATACTTTAAATGTAAGAATATATGAGTGTATTTCATGTATTTGCTAATAAATTGATATATATATACATATATTCTAGTCATTAAATATAATCTATAATGCAATATTGAAATGCGAACAAAACTTGGGTATATATGAATGTGTTTGCGCGCGCGCGCGCGTGCGTGTGTTATGTCTAAAGTAATATATGCAGATAAAAATGACTATACAATTGATCGTGTTAATTTCCGTCCATGCGATATACTTCAATCATTATAGTTCTGAGCAGATGAAGTTGATTGTAATAATTTCATTGATATAAAAACAATACTTTGACTATTATAATTTAATTTCGAATTGATTGTAATAAAGAAGTTATGTTCCTATATTGAATCAATTGAGCCTAAAGAAAACGGAAACTGACAACTACATCTTTATCGACTGATAATTGTATGTCTATAATGACAACAGAGAACTACTGTGACTAAATGTTGATAAAATAGAGATCTATAGAAATCTCTTATGGAAGTCATATTAAAAACATTATAACATAGATTTCTGTCCCAATAATTATATAAAAAATTAATGATTTTTTGATGTACATTATTATTATTAGAATTAACTCACTTGTCTCGATAATCTATTGTCTATGCAGTCGTCGCGAAACATTGTAGTTTCTTCATAGGGAAAATTCCAAGTTATATTAGCGTACACCCAACGGACATTTATTCGTACACAGAATAGGAATGCACCGATATTATTTTCATCTGCTACTAGGTCATGCTTCTAGCCAATAAAATTTAAACTCGAAGAGACTATTTTGTTAAATTTTATATCAAACAATTATTTTCAATTCATCAGTAATAAATATGAGATGATATCAAAGTTAGAATTTTTTGTTTGAGGTAAAACAAAAAAAAAGTCATTATAAGACGTACAAGGTATGAATCAATAATTATTAAATATCATGTCTTCTTGAGCATGTCCTGGTTTAAACAAGAACATTGATTTAGATAAAACTGGGTTCCAATTTAATAATATTTAATATTACCATCCAATCCGGCGACTGAATATGAGTATTGAAATGTGAATCCAAGTGTTTCACCACTAAAAATTCAATATCGTAAACAAATTTTGTACAAAATGTATCCGAAATTTATATAAGAATGTATATAAAATTTCTACAAAATGTGTATGAAATTTTTACAAAATTTTATACAAATTTTATATACATTTTATATACATTTTTTCCGAAAAAATTTGTATAAAATTTTATATTTATTTCATACAAATTTTGTGTACATTTTATACAAATTTTATACGTATATTGTTTGAATTTTACATAAAATTTACACATTAATTTTTTTGTAATTGTCAATCATGATTATTATGAGACAATTTTTTTCGTAGAATAATAATGACTAGTGTACTAAAATTGTAAATAATATCCATTATTTTATGGGATAGTTTGAATTTTCTTTTATTAACAAAATTTTGGTTACAAATGCATCCTTATATACGCCTGACTACAAATTAAGTTTCATTAAGTACGCAAAATATGCTTAAAAATATGATAATCTTGGTTATATACTTAAGTATACTAAAAGGTTTAATGATCTGTAATTTTTAACATGATAAATATGCCCTTAAATCTATAAAACTTAGAAATATGGACTAAGAAAAACTTAGATTTTAATTCATAGATCGCATTTTAAAAAACAATTCAAGTTTTCTTAATTGTGTAACATATTATAAACACTGCCGAAATATATTGTCCATCAATGATATCGATACAAAGAGCTATATTGGCAATATCGTTAGTTTTTATATTTATATTATCTTCTTGAATCTTTATTATTTTTTTAATTTTATTACAATTTTCGAAAACATTTCATCTAATAGAGTAATTAGATACAGTATATTCGAACTATTTGACTTCATCAACTACAAATTTCATTATCTTTATAAAATTTCCACTTGTTTGAGCAAAGGAATTATTACGAGGGTCAATACGTCTTTACAAAAAGATGGAAAAAAAAGTTTTGCGTATGTAATTTTTTTTTTATTTTTCAACAAAATCTCCTTGAAGGTCGATACATTTTATTAAACGGCCTTTCAGTTTTTTTAAGCCATCAGAAAAATATGATTTCTGAAAACCCTCAAAATAGGCATTTATTTCGGCGATGACTTCTTCATTCGACGTGAATCGTTGTCCGGCAAGCCATTTTTTGAGGTTAGGAAATAAGAAAGTCACTGGGAGTCAAATCAGGCGAATATGGTAGATGGTAAATTAATTCAAACTTTAAATCGTTAATTTTTGCCATCGAAACTGCACACGTGTGAACTCGAGCATTGTCTTGAAGAAAGAGGCATTTTTTTTGTTCAAGTGAGGACGTTTATCTCTGATTTTTTCTTTCTAATAATGACGCATAATATTGTCCAGTGATTGTCTGGCCCTTTTCCAAGTAGTCGCTGTAGATGATTCCATACGCATCCCAGAAAACCGTGGTCATAATCTTGCCAGCTGACTTTACTGTCTTTGCCTTCTTTGGGGATGGTTCTCCTGCGGTAATCCATTGTTTGGACTATTCTTTGGTTTCAGGCGTGTAGTGGTGTACCCACGTTTCGTCTAGAGTTACGAGTCGACGCCAGAAGTCTTGCGGATTACGACGTATGCGTGCCAAAAGATGACCGCGCGGGTTCATTTATTTTCAATAGTGAGCAAACGCGGCACCTATCTTGCTGATATTTTTTTCATCCCCAATTTCTCATGAAAATTGAAATGATTGTACCCTTTGATACCCCTGTGGCCTCAACTAATTCTCGCAATTTTAATCTTCTATCACTCAACACCTTATCGTAGATTTTGTTGATCATTTCGGGCGTACTAACTTCTACAGGACGTCCTGAACGAGGTTCATCTTTTGTTGCTGTACGGCCGCGTTTAAATTCATTTATCCAGTTATAAACAGTCTTAAACACAGGGGCAGACTTACATGAACGGCGTTCAACTCAACTGTGATTTCTTTTGGTTTAAGGCCTTTCAAATGAAAATGTTTTATCACCGCTGGAAACTCTGTTTTTTCCATTTTTCAAATAAACCAATAACTTTTTGTTCAACCAAAGCTCAAACTCAAGCTGAAACTTTGTACGATATCTAATTGCTTGACAAAAACATCATAATTTAAGTGTGATGAGTGCCATCTCTTGGATTTTGTAAAGACTTATTGACCTCCCTCGTAGATCTAGGAGATTCTTTATTGCAGCAAGAAAAAAGATAAATATTTTTTATAATTTTGTCGTATATTTTGGTATAATTTTCAGTATTCACACATTTTCAAAAATATCTATTTTTTATCATTTTTATTGTGTACTCTGTATATAGATTTTTTAAATGGTAGATAAATTTTATTATTGTCGAATTTTCATACTTCTGAGTTATATATTTGTTTAATAATATTCAACTATTTGAAAATTCAATTTTGTGGCAAATTTTGTGTAAGATTCTATTATTTGATTTGATCATCTTAAGATTTTTGCGATTTCCTGATTCAAAAGAGTATCCTCAGAATGAAAGGAAAGTGGTCCTTAATTTCTCACACTTCCAAGGGAGAGATATTTGCCCTCCGCCTTCGATTTTTCTAAAACTTGGCAGAGAGATAGAGTTTTGAAAATTATTTGACATGTATTTTTATATCTGCGGGAATCCGTATTTAAAGGGTGAAAACCATCTTTAAAGTTCACCCCCGAAACAGATTTTTTAATATCTCGAGATTTGATCGGATCCTTTAGGATAAAATCTATTTTAATTATTTGAATTATCATTTTTTTCTTATAAAAAAATGAGTATTCAAGCAGAAATTAGTGATCCAAATATGTTTAGGGGGCGAGAACTCTAAACACCCCCAAAAACCAATTTTTTTAATATTTCAAAATTGGATCACAATTTCTTGATAAAATCATCACATATTTATTTCTTATAAAATAATAAGTGTTCAGGCGCAGTTTAGGAACCCAAATATATCAAAAGGGGTGAGAAGCACCCATAATACTCACCCCCAAACACCATTTTTTTTTTATATTTCGAGTTTGGATCGGAGTTTCTTGATGAAATCAACGTTTGTTTATTTCTTCTAAAAAAAAAGTTTACAAGAAGAATTTAGGGATCCACTTATATAGAGAGGGTAAGAATCAGAATCCTTAAAGTTCATCCCCGAAAACGATTTTTTTTAGTATCGCTAAAGTGGGTCGGAGTTTTTAAAAAAAAAATTAACGGCTGTTTATTTCTTATGAAAATATGAGTATTTGGGTACATTTTAATTCTGGAGGTAAGGGGTTGCAGAACTTAATTTTTTAACTTTTGTTTTTGACGTGAAAATATTTTTATCGGCCAAATTAATTGGATAATTGGCATTTAGATACATCATAACAAATTATTGTTCATCTGTTTAGAGATTAATAAAAAACAGTAAATAAAAAAAATACAACAGTCTTTCTAAAATATAATGTTGAACTGCTTATTTGAGTGTACAGTTATATTAGAAGTGAAGTAAATAAGAAAGTTTTCTAATTGCAGTATATTTAATAGCTTTAGATTTCGTTATTAAAATTAATATTAGTAATTTAAAAGTTTTTTTTTTGGAAATTTTATTGAATATATGTTTCACAATAATAGTAATATATGAAAAAATGTTGAAAGCATAACAGCTTTTTACACCATACACCGTACGATTGCAATCTCTTCACATATACTGCAAACTGGTTCCTCTTTAAAATGCAAACTGAAATATACTGAAGTATCAAATTTCGCAGGTTTTTCGTTTAGCCCACTTTTGTACCATGCATATTTCAAAACATTTTGGAATCTTGGTGAAGAAAATTGGTTATATCTTAACAATTGAATCTTGATTATATTATTTCTTTCGTGTGTCACGTCGATACTAAGAGAGCGCATGCGACGAACCATGGTAACTAATCAAGTGTCACGAGAATACCTCCCTTACCCCAGCCTGCAAAGTGTAATGGACAGTAAAAATAAAAAATACCATTCGAAACATCTCTAATTGAACCCTCCAAAAATGCTCATTGTTTTAATTGAACCCCTTCAGTTGTCCCAAAAAAAATTAAAAACTATGATAATTTTTTCGTTTTTTGTAACTGCGATATCTTTAGTAATACTTAATATTTTTGTAAAAGAAACAAGGCAAAAAATTGAACCTTTGCTCGTCTTAATTGCACCCCTCTCACTTTTTCAAAATTATTAATATATATGTCAAAAACAACAATCTAACTTTATTGTATGTTCTTTCCAAATAACCCAATAACCCAATAATCTATTTAAAAAGAACATACAATAAAGTTAGATTGTTGTTTTTGACATATATATTAATAATTTTGAAAAAGTGAG